TTAAGCAAGTGTGACTTGCGCTCACTTATGGTCTGATTATGGCAACTTAACGAAACTTGCGGCTCTCTCTTAAAAATTCTGTTAAATGGGTGTTGCTTATAATTGAACAGCCGAAACTTAACGTAACTCAATGCCACGTCGAAATTTGTTTCATTTTGATTCTCTAAAAGCTTAAACAGACAGAAGCGTTGTTCCGGATTAACTCGGACTTAATGCGGATCAACTGCAGTTAATTCCCGAGTTGATCCGGATCAACGCTGCCGTCTGTTTATGCTTTAAGTTCTACGTTCCGTTTAGTTAAGTTGCCATAATCAGGCTTGTGAGCTAGTGAGCTTGTGTTGAGCAAGTATTCACAAGTGTTTGGTTTATGAGCTCCAATTCATATTCCTCACTGGCTTCGTTTCGCTTACAATTATGAATCTGAAAGTGTTGTGAAAACGCAAGAGCTCATTTGGTCGCAAGCCACTTACGCCATTTGAGCAGTTGCGCTGTGAAGCAAACGGTAGAAAAGAAAGAAGAGTTTAAAAATTGCTTGATTATAAAGCCATCGGTATAAATCTGGAACACTTTTAATACAAATGAATTATGTTTATCAAATATAAACTCTTTGATCTAAGTGGACAGCACGAGTATAAATCAGGTATTACTTGTTCGTATCGTAGTTTTGCTGATAATTTTGTATCTATGCATGTATTTAGGACGGTTTTACTTTCTTATTTTGGTATTATAGTTTCTATATTTCAACTTAAATTGTTGACAAATTGGCCATCGGTTTAAAAAGTAATCGTAATATATTTACTATTTATTCTACTAATAAATATTTTATCCTAACACTTATAGCCATATTCATAAAAATAAAGTAGCTTTAAAAAAGGTTTATAAATTGAAATTTGTATGAAAACATCAATTTATAAAGCATTTTGATCCATGTTAAAAATTAAGGTAGTTTGTAAACAACTTTTTGAGGGATACTGGGGTTTTTGAAGCTTCATAATTTGTTCATGTTGCAAATTTGTTAATATTTAAAAATAAATTAGAGAATTTCGAGATGGAGATTTTTTCCATAGTTAATAAGTGCAAATATTTTAGTCTTCTTAGACGAAACCAAATAAGTCTAGTACATGATATACCTAAGTATTGAAAATATGTACATAAAAATAATGCAAATTAACTTCGAAGTACAGTGGATATTGGCATCCTACTTACATCTCCCCCCAACCACAAACTGGAAATTAATCTATATGTGTGTATGTTGCGTTAGCATTATTAAAAGATTTTATTTAATAAATTCAACAAACCCATCAAGATGTAATTTTTCTGATCTTAATTTCATATTTAGTTTTGTTTTCTTTTAACTTCAGATTTAGATATCGAATTCACAAAAGGAAGCGCTGGAAATTTAAATACATTTTTACCGTCTTCCTGGCAATGATATTGTGCATTTTTGCAACTTCCAAATGCACAACTAATTTTTCTTTTTATTATTTTACAAAATTATTTTATTTTTTTCTATGTCAAATTCATTTCAGAAAAAAATTGTATTATAATTATCAGTCTGGTAGCTAGATTTTAATGAAAATGACAAAATCCTGGCAAAAGTCAAATGGCTAACATGGCTGCTAATTTCATTAAGTGAAACTACCTTCTAAATTTTTTTTTTTCAAAAACAAATATTGCGAAATTTCAAGGATAAAAATTAACCAGTCCTTATGCTTCAAAAAGTTCAATATGATTAAATTCTACAGAATTTAATATATACCCATGCTTCTTTGAGCCCATGGTTTCGTGAATATATTGATTTTTGTGTGTAAAATTTACTATCGCACAGTGTTATATGTATAATGAGCTAGACATTTATAAAAAAAGTATTTATTATTAAATAAAAAAAGGAAATATAGCCAATACTGGTCAAGAAAAGGAGTTTATATTTTTGCCATCAGTTCAAATTACAAATCCCGAAAATATCGGGATTATTTGCCAAGGATGCAGGGATTTTCGCGACCTTAAAAAGGCCGGGATCCCGGGATTTACATTCCTAGTAGAGATACAGTGGAAGATCTGCAAAACAAAAATATTGCTTTTGTCTCTGTACGTACACACACCCATATACATACATATGCATAAAGTTATTTTCAATTTTGTATAACATTAAAATGCTGGAAAATTAAAAAAATAAATCCGGGCAGACGAACTGAGGGAACGGTAAAGTATTTTAAACTCTCGATATATATTATAGTGGCATGAGACAAGTGCAAAACATATTGATAATGTACACAACATATTGATGCCAATACGTTAAAATATTTAATTAAATAGAATGTGTCATAACAAACAAAGAAATTCCAAAAGCGAAAGTATTTTATATTTCGGTGTTTGTTTGAAGAATGTAGTGACCCACTTGAGTCATCGACTGTGACGCCCCACTTAACAACACAATGTATGACCCACTTGAATCATTGATTGAAGAGCGTTCAATGAGTCGCGCAATAGAACACCCAAGTTGTAAATTAGAATAAGATTGAACAAAATATGTATGAAACACATGTAACAATAGTATACAAGCAAGTAGAAAAATACTTTAGGTGGCAGTTTTTAATCCAACTTACTTCGATACAGTTCGAAGATGTTTTACTTTAAATACAAATGAGAAATCAACTGGACAAAGAAAGTTCTTTCCCCGNCGGTAAAGTATTTTAAACTCTCGATATATATTATAGTGGCATGAGACAAGTGCAAAACATATTGATAATGTACACAACATATTGATGCCAGATACGTTAAAATATTTAATTAAATAGATNTAAAGTATTTTAAACTCTCGATATATATTATAGTGGCATGAGACAAGTGCAAAACATATTGATAATGTACACAACATATTGATGCCAATACGTTAAAATATTTAATTAAATAGAATGTGTCATAACAAACAAAGAAATTCCAAAAGCGAAAGTATTTTATATTTCGGTGTTTGTTTGAAGAATGTAGTGACCCACTTGAGTCATCGACTGTGACGCCCCACTTAACAACACAATGTATGACCCACTTGAATCATTGATTGAAGAGCGTTCAATGAGTCGCGCAATAGAACACCCAAGTTGTAAATTAGAATTAGATTGAACAAAATATGTATGAAACACATGTAACAATAGTATACAAGCAAGTAGAAAAATACTTTAGGTGGCAGTTTTTAATCCAACTTACTTCGATACAGTTCGAAGATGTTTTACTTTAAATACAAATGAGAAATCAACTGGACAAAGAAAGTTCTTTCCCCGGGTCTTTTACTTTAAAACAAACAAAGACATTACATGGCGATCCTGCACCGATTCCTGTGACGAGACGATTCCTTGACGCACGACGAGGAGGAAAACGCAACAANTACAACAACAACGCGAGGAGACATTGACGGCCATACCAAACGCCCGCACTCCAAAACGACGAGGAGGAAAACGCAACAAGTAATTGCGTTTACGAGCACAACTGCTGAAAGGCGTTCAGCAAGAAAAAGACTCGGCATCACAGCGCGAGGCGTGGAACAAAATCTTCCTAATAGCGGCATCTCTTGCTACTAGAGAGAAAAATAATAATAATAATGCTGTATATGCATAACAAAAAATTTTAGCGACCGTTACGAATTTCGCAGATCGCGTTAGTTAAGTTCAAAACATAATATAAAAAAAAAATAAAAAATGGGAAATACACAAGCAAAGGAGGAAACAGTTATCCAGGAACTAAATCAAACTAATCGCCAACAGCATCCAATTCGTATAAAGACAACGATTTGCAAGTTGTGTTATACCTACACTTTGTTGTAGCATTNCACAAGCAAAGGAGGAAACAGTTATCCAGGAACCAATAATTGTGGCAAACTAATCGCCAACAGCAACCAATTCGTATAAAGACAACGATTTGCAAGTTGTGTTATACCTACACTTTGTTGTAGCATTGAGCACAGTGTTGTTTGTTGCCTACAAGGTGAACAAATATTACTGTACATTTTTTTTAACAAAAAAAAAATAAAAAAATTCTAACAAAATAGTAGAACCAGATAGAAAAATAAAAATGAATTGTAAGCCACATGGACAGGATTTGTACATGCCTATGTAGAACCAGATAGAAAAATAAAAATGAATTGTAAACCATATGGACAAGATTTGTAAATGCCTATGTGAGGCAACAACATTTTACACTAATTCAAAAAAATGTCTATCTCGTGGATACTTGTTACGGACCATCTGGGAGAAATTAGATAGACCTGAACAACTAAAGAATGCAGTAAATGCAACAAAAATAAGGGAGATTTTGAAGCGGTNATTCAAAAAAATGTCTATCTCGTGGATACTTGTTACGGACCATCTGGGAGAAATTAGATAGACTTGAACAACTAAAGAATGCAGTAAATGCAACAAAAATAAGGGAGATTTTGAAGCGGTAAACGCCCTTAAAGTAAATTTTTTTGAAAAATACAAATTAGCGAGACAGCTTTTAATGGGAATGGTTAACAATAGTCCAGAATCAGGTCCACAATCTAACGCCCTATCTGTCAGTAATAACTCTAGACTCCCAATTGACAATACTAATAACATAACAATGACAGAAAACGCACCAGAAAACCTTGAAAAATTCGTACCGGTTTTCAATGGTAAATTTGAAGAACTAAATGGCTTCATTTTTAGACTAAAGAAGCCCACGACAGACTTCGTTCTGCGGACAGAAACGAATTCCTAGAATATGAACTAAACCATTCAGTTAGAGCTAGGGTTTGCCCTGTAGGTTTTCCCACTTCAATTAACGAACTTATAGATAGTTTAAAGTCGAACTACCTATCAAGAGTCTTTGTGCCACAGTTACTCCAAAAACTGTCACAACAAAGACTAGGAATTAATGAAAACATACGTGAGTATGGTAATAAAATTTCGGAAATATTGGCCAAACTGGATTCAGTTTCGCTATTAGCCAAAAATTATGAAAGAACTTCACCCCAAGGCCAGGCGATAATGGTCTACAATGACGAAATCGCCTTAATTAACTACAAAAAGGGACTCAATCCAACATATTTCCAGACAGTCCAAGCGGCTCAGTTGAAAACTTTCAGCGAAGCAAGGAATTTTGCTGAGAACATTGACTCACAAGCTCAGCAACAGGGAATATTTACGTACCGAGAAAACAACCGGAGATTCCAGAATAATCGCAGATACGCGAACGGAGGCAACCACAACTACCGCAACAATAACTATGATAATTTCGGGAATAGTTTCAACAACAATTATCGTTATCGAAGGGATAATGTCCGAAACAACAACAGAAATGCGTTCCAATCCGGAGAATCCGCCAATTCAGGCAACAATGCACGCAATAACAACACTGCCCGCACTACCTACAATACCCCTAATAATACGCGCCGCTCAGGTGACCACTATGTTCGTAGTGGTCGTACCCTTTCGAACCAACCTAGCAGGCAGGTACGAGTAGCAAACGTGCAGGAAAACTCCTACCGCCCGGAGGAAAATTAACAACCTTTTCCTCTGGGAACACTCAAAGCAAAATTTATTCACTCAATACACATACCTCTAATTATGTGACATTCCTTTGTACTACCATCAAAAGAACAGTAAAATTACTAATAGATACGGGAGCTGACATTTCACTTTTCAAGGCAGTGCAAAACTTAGAATATGACTCCAAAAATACTTGTATCTTAACAGGTATCACTTCAGATTCAACCACATCAATAGGTACTACAAGATTACACCTAACTTTCGAACAGATTTCGTTAACACATAAGTTTTCAATCGTTGATACCGATTTCCCAAATGAAGTAAACTGCATACTTGGCCAAGACTTCCTCATAATGTACAATTGCAATATAGATTATTATACTTGCTCTTTGACCGTGAATACACAAAATGAACAGGCAATTCTTCCAATAAATTGTAAAGAAATTTGGTTAAAACCAAGAACTCAACATATTGTGGCTATATACGCACATTTCGACCAAGACACGGTCATACTAAACAGTGAGTTACAAAAAGGTGTGCACATGGCTAACACCATAGTGCCAGCAAATGGTCTATGTCACGTAAAAATACTAAATTCTAAAGAACATGATGTTATTTTAAAACAATTAAGTTTTCGAACAGTACCCCTTAATGATTTCAGTGTAGTCAATAACATGCGTACATCCAAGAAAAATAAAGAAAGAGTATCTACAGGATTAAACTTGTTAAAGTTAGATACCTTAGACCCACAGTCCAAAAATTTCCTTCTCCCCCTATTTCCCAAATATCAGCACATTTTTCACCTTAACGATGAAGGTTTAACTATGAATAATTTCTACACAGAGCACATCTCAACCAATGACAATGCTCCAGTGTACATAAAAATCTACCGACTTCCAACAACGAAGAGATAAAGGCACAAGTCAACCAAATGTTAACTGATGACATAATCCAAACTTCAAAAGGTCCGTACAATTCTCCAATACTTCTGGTACCTAAGAAGTCCCAAGACAACAACAAGAAATGGAGACTCGTGGTAGACTTCTGAAAATTAAACGACAAAATAGTCAACGACAAATTTCCGTTAACACGCTTAGATGACGTTCTTGATAGACTAAGCAAAGCTAGATATTTCTCCACATTGGACATGACCAGTTCCGTCCATCAAATACCAATTTATGATGAATCTCGCCCCAAAACAGCTTTTTCAACAAGCAATGGTCACCATGAATTTAAGAGACTACCTTTTGGACTAAAGATATTCTTCTGTTTTCAAAGAATGCTCACACTCGCGTTAACTGGATTAGACGCTGAGGCATTTCTCTATGTAGATGATATTATAGTGTTCGTGAACAGCCTCAAACGTCACCATTTAAATTTAGAAAAAGTTTTTGAAAGACTACATGACTACAACCTCAAGTTAAACCCACAAAAATGTAATTTCCTTAAACACGAAGTTACTTACCTTGGTCATTTCATTACGAGCAACGGAATCAAGACCAGTGCTGCCGCGAATAATTTTTACTGGTAGCCAAATTCCTTTAAAAAAAGGGCTAAAAAAGAGCTAAAAAAAAGTCGTTGTGGCTAAAAATGGTAGCTAAAATTTTTTACTTACACACACATATATAAGTATACACGCAAACATTTTGAATAAGTAATGGTATATAAAAACAATGAACTCGGTTTCCAACCAAAAACCTTTTTGTGGAAATATACGACACCAGCTTGCTGGCTCCATCAAGCGATTGTACCATCAGGCTCGAAGCATTTAACTTGCCAGGATGCTGGTGCAATATTTATTTCTTTACAAATGAGGTCGAGGAAAGATCGAAATGATTAGAGCCGAAATTTCATATTTTTTCTAGCATTTTGTTAAACATTGTATTTTTTTTGTTAATTCACAACTGCAATATCGTGAAATTAAAGNATACACGCAAACATTTTGAATAAGTAATGGTATATAAAAACAATGAACTCGGTTTCCAACCAAAAACCTTTTTGTGGAAATATACGACACCAGCTTGCTGGCTCCATCAAGCGATTGTACCATCAGGCTCGAAGCATTTAACTTGCCAGGATGCTGGTGCAATATTTATTTCTTTACAAATGAGGTCGAGGAAAGATCGAAATGATTAGAGCCGAAATTTCATATTTTTTCTAGCATTTTGTTAAACATTGTATTTTTTTTGTTAATTCACAACTGCAATATCGTGAAGTTAAAGTTCCACAAACACGGCTTTGACTCATATAATGCAAGAAATTTACGCCAGAATACTTTTTACCTAGAAAATTTCACCACGCACGACACCAGCATGCTGGTGCAATCATAAAATTTTCAAATAGTTTTTGAAGTCGCACCAGCAGCTGGTACAATCACACCACAAGAACATACACGGTCAATCGACTTGATGGGCCATTTAACAAATTAAGCATATTAAGGGCCGTAAACTTATCGGCGCGTATTCATAGTCCAGCCACTAAGTCGAAACTAATAAAGTTGCAACTTAAATTCAAGTACCACCTTAAAATTCCTTTCTATTCATAGTCGCATTTCAGATTTCTACTAAGTAGTTTTAACTTAGTTTTACGATATTGCAAAACGAGTGTGAAAATGTATCGATTTTTCTTTACGATATTTTGGAAAAATTACATTTTTATTAAATAATGTCAAGTTTGATCATCCGTTTATGTAATTTTTACTTTCATTGCATGTCTATGCAAAAGAATAAGGTATAAGTTTCTTGTTAATTCTGCGAAATAGCCAGAACTACCGCAATAATGTGAAGTCGATGTTTATCGAAAGCATACTGTGAAACATACAAACACATATATAAATTTTATGCCATAATTTGCTTTAAAAGAACAATTTTGAAATTGACTTATTATTTGAGCATTTATATATGTAAATCATTCCAATTATAAAATTGTGATGTAGCCTTATTCGAATTGTAATACGGATTTAATTTCATCTTCCGATTCAAATGGATCGCTCTTTGTAAATTTCAATTGGAGATCATTCAATATTATCACGCTCTGCCAACCTAATTTTTACATATTTCGTCTTTTTTCCTTAATTTAATAAAATACTTCTTCCTAACTAGTTACGACTTAATTGCAGCTGCAGCCGAAACTAAATTTTAAGTTGGTACTTAGCCAGAAAAGTCGAAACTAAGGCGACTATGAATAGCTTTAGTTGTAACTTAGGATAGTTTCGACTTAGTTGTGAACTAAATATGACTATGAATATGCGCCATCTATTTTAAACTATAGTTAAATCGTTAATAGATAAGTAAACAGCCCTAACACTTTTACAGTATGTATGTATAAACACGTAAGCAACATACAATACAATATATGTATATATATCAGTCTTTCTTAGTTTAAAAATTCATCTCTTGCATAAATGAAAAAAAAATGAGANCAACCTCAAGTTAAACCCAGACAAATGTAATTTCCTCAAACACGAAGTTACTTACCTTGGTCATCTCATTACGAGCAACGGAATCAAGACTGACCCTGCTATGCACGAAGTTATTCAAAATTATCCAGTCCCTAAGAATTCAGACGAAGTGCGAAATTCGTCGCATTCTGCAACTACTATAGACGCTTTATTCGTAATTTCGCAGAAATTGCAAAACCTCTCAATCTACTTTTAATGAAAGGTCAAACATTAGTTTGGAACAGTGCATGTGAAATAGCTTTCAGTACACTTAAAACTAAGTTAATTAGCCCCCCCCCCCCCAAAGGGCTAAAACGGCAACACTGATCAAGACTGACCCTGCTATGCACGAAGTTATTCAAAATTATCCAGTCCCTAAGAATTCAGACGAAGTGCGAAATTCGTCGC